TTGCAAATGACAAGAGTTCATTCTTATTTTTATGACTGAGTAATATTCCATTGTATATATAGATAGACCACATATTCTTTGTCCATTCATCAATCAATGGACATCTGGGTTGCTTACATATCTTGGTTATTGTAAATTATGCTGTGATGAACGTAGGGGAGCATATATCTTTTCAAATTAGTATTTTCATTTTCTTTGGGTAAATACCAAGTAGTGGAATTACTGGACCATATGGCAATTTTATTAATTTTTTGATGAAACTCCATACTATTTTCCACAGTGGCTGCACCTGTTTGCATTCCCACCAACAGTGCATGAGGGTTCCTTTTTCTTCACATCCTCACCAACACTTGTTGTTTCTTGTTTTTGATTTTATACATTCTGACAGGTGTGAGGTGATACCTCATTGTTGTTTTGATTTGCACTTCCCTGCTGATGAGTGATATTGAGCATGTTTTCATGTGTGTGATGGCCATCTGGATGTCTCCTTTGGAAAAACTTCTGTTCATGTCTTCTGCCCACATTTAATTGGATTATTTGTGGTTTTTTTGGTGTTGAGTTGTATTAGTTCTTTATATATTTTGGATATTTACCCCTTATTAGATATATAATTTGCAATTATCTTCTCCCATTCAGTGGGTTGTCTTTTTGTTTTGTTGGTGGTTTCCTTCACTTTGCAGAAGCTTTTTATTTTGGTGTGGTCCCAATAGTTTATTTTCACTTTGGTTTCCCTTTCCAAAGGAGACAGGTCTAGAAAAATGTTTCTACAGCTGATATCAAAGAGATTACTGTGTATTTTTTCTTCTAGGAATTTTATGGTTTCAGGTCTCACATTTATGTCTTAAATATATTTTAGTTTTGTGTATAGTGTAAGAAAGTGGTCCAGTTTCATTCTTTTGCATGTAAATGTCCGGTTTTCCCAACACCATTTGTTGAAGAGATTATCTTTTTCCCATTGCATATTCTTGCCTCCTTTGTCATAGATTAATTGACTATATAACCAAGGGTTTACTTCTGGGTTTCCAATTCTGTTCTGTTGATCCATGTGTCTAATTTTTTGTTTTTTGCCATTACCATACTGTTTTGACTACTACAGCTTTGTAGTATATCTTGAAATCTGGGATTGTGGTACCTCCAGTTTTTTTTTTCTTTTTCAAGATTGTTTTGGCTATTTTGGCTTTTGTGGTTTCAAACAAATTTTAGTATTATTTGTTCTAGTTCTGTGAAAAATGTTATTGGTATTTGATAGGGATTTATGCCAACTGGTTTTTGACAAAGATGTAAGAGCAATAAATGTTGGAAACAGCCCTTTGAACAAATGGTGCTGGAGCCTGGAATATCCATAGGCAAAACAAAATTTAAAAATAATGACCAAAGTTTCAAAACTTAGGAAAAACACAGGAGAAGGTGATCAGGATCTAGAGGTAGGCAAAGATTAGACCAAAACCACAATCCATGAAGTGAAAAGTAGATAAATTGGACCTCATCACAATTACAACCATCTGCTCTTCAAAAGACCTTATTAAGAGGATGAAAATATAAGCCATAGAGTGGGAGAAGCTATTTACAAACCATTTACAAATCAAAAAGGACTAGTATTTAGAATATATAAAGAATTCTAAAAACTGAACAGTAAAAAAACACAATTAGGAAATAGGCAAAATACACGAACAGACATTTCATTGAATAGGATATTCAAGTTGAAAATAAACACATGTAAAGATGTTCATCATTAGCCATTAAGGAAATACAAATTAAAGTCACAAAAAAATACCACTACACACCCATCAGAATGTTTAAAATAAAAATAGTGACAATGTCAAATGCTGGCAAGGATACAGAGAAATTAGATCACTCACAGATATATTGCTGGTGGGAATGTAAAATGGAACAACTAGTCTGGAAAGAAGTTTGGCAGTTTTTTGAAAAACTAAACATGCAAGTACATATGACAGCAATTTTACTCCTAGCCATTTATTCCAGATAAATGAAAACTTATGTACACACACACACACACACACACACACACACACACACCTGTACACAAATGTTTGTAGCAGTTTTATTCAGAATATCTGAAAACTGGAAATAACCTAGCCATTCTTCAACAGGGGAATGGATAAACAAATTGTGGTACATCCCTACCATGATAAAATACTCATCAATAAAAAGAAACGACCTATTATTACATGCAACAACAATCAGAAAATTATGCTGACAAAAAAAAAGAGGAAATTCCAAAAATTTATACATTGTATCATTCCATTTATATAACACAGATTTGTGTTTCACAGGAGTTAAATAGTGCAGATAAAAAAGCAGATCATGAGGGATCCTTGTGGTGATGGAAATATTCTATATCCTGACTGTTCAATGTCAATAACCTAATTATGACATTGGCAAGGCATTACCATTGGGTAAAGGGTCCACAAGATCTCTCTGTATTACTCCTCACAACTGCATGTGAGTCTACAATTTTCTTAAAATAAAAAATTAAATATATATAAAAATATTACCTTTGTGGTTTCTCTCTTGTCTGAACCCCAATTGATGCAATTCATCACACTGGGGAATTTCTCTTCTCTTCCTAGTTCACTCCAGTTTGCTGGGAGTTTTAGTCAGGGTATATGTTGATTTTTGCCAACTGCTTTTTTTGCATCTACTGAAAACAATTATATAGTTTTTCTCTTTTATGGTGAATTATACTGATTTTATAACGTTAAACCAACCTTGCATTCCTGGGACACATTACTTTATCATGATGTAATAATCCCTTTATACATTGCTGGATTCAATTTGCTAATATTTGCTTGGGATTTTAATGTCCATATTAGGAAATGTCTTTCAGATACCTAAGGGAGCAATGTTATTAGTTTCTAAAATTAAAAAGATACCTGGGAAAAAATATTAAAATTATTAAAAATTATTAAAAATATTAAGATACCTGGGAAAAATATTAAAATTATTAAAAATTATTAAAAATATTAAAATTTCACAAGGCTGGAGGGTGGTAAACAATAATTTGTTACATTATTGTCTACACTTTCCTGCTTTCTTATTTTTGTTTTTTTTTTTTT